TCCTTCCAAACCCCCAACCCTCATTGCTGTGGCCCCCTCAACTCAGACACCTCACTCCTCTGGTGCTCCAGCCCCACGGAGTGAGGGGAAGGGATAGGGAGGACTGAGGTTCAGGGCTTCCCATAGGCCAGATTTACTTTCGAGGGGTTCTAGAGTTAGTGGATTTTGTGGCCCCCCTTAGGCTCTGGGGTGGGAACAAAAATGTGTGGTACAACGTGCGGAACAGCTGCTAGCGAGTGGGATGGGGTGCAGGATGGGTGACGAGGGCAGGTTCTGGAAGGGACTGTGGCAGCAGGAAAGGTGTGGGGTGGGGGTATGAGAGGGAGTTTAGGGTCAGAAGGAGACTGGGGGAGTAACACAGAAAAAGTGAGAGGGTGAGAATGCCGCCAAAAAGCTAGTTGGAGAAGGAGGCAAAGAAGTGGGGAGTAAAGGAAAGTGCAGCTTCTGCAAAGTAAAATTGTTCCATCCCTCTCTGCCTCCCCACATCTTCCCTCTACTGCAGCCTCGCTCCCCTCGGCCCCACGATCCCCCCAGCCTGATCCCCTGCATCGCCCTGTGCCCCTCAGTGCAACCCCTGCCCCTCCCATCCTGCCCCTGCATCCACCTTCAACCCACCCCCTTGTGCCCCAACATCCCTGTGCCCCCAGCGCACTCACCAGCAGGGTAGCAGCACAGGGACTTACAGCCCCCTGAGAACACCACTGGTGCGAGGAGAAGCAGAGAAAGCAGAGTCACTTCCCTGCCTGGTCCAGACCTTTGTCTGCAGGCTGCAGCTCTGGAGCTGGGGCAGGTAGAGCCTGGGGCTGCTCAGGACTGGTTCCAGCCTGGCTGGGTGCAGTGGGGTGCTGGGGAAGGGGCTCCTGCCCCCTCACACAGCCTACAGAGAGCAGTGCGGTGCAGCCCGGACCCAGGCCCCAGCACTCCACGTGTGCCGCCCACACAGCCCTGGCTCTGTGGAGCAGGCCCAGCCCTGCCCTCTCCCGAAGCAAGAGAAAGCCCCAGGGATGTGCATGTACCTCTCCCCCTGCCCCCAGCAGGAAGCCAGAAGTGGTGATCCAGCCTGCAGCACAGGCTCTCAGCTGCGCGGAGCGTGGAGGAGCAGGGCTGAGCTCCTGCCCCCCGTACCAGTAAAAATTGGCTCATGTGCCGCTTGTGGCACCTGTGCCGGGGGTTGCTGACCCCTGCCCTAGCCTCCCTCAGAGGCCAGGAATGGGTAACAGGAGAGGGGTTGCTTGATGATTCACTGTTGTGTTCCCTCCCTCTGGGCACCTGGCATTGGCCACTGTGGGCAGACAGGATACTGGGCTGGATGGACCGTTGGTCTGACCCAGCCTGGCCTCTCTGATGTTCTTAAGTCCTGTACATGGATGGAGATCAGTGCCTAGCAATGTAATTAGCCCAGCTCGGACAAGAGTGGATTATTTCTTTCACTGGATTACTTACATTCCTGGAAGAACAGGTTCCTGTCTAATATTTCTGGCATCCTACCATTTGCCCATAGAGGGGAATGCTGCCAGGACCTGCCCTGGCAGGCTGGCTGAACCAGCAGCTAGAGTTTGCAGGGCTGGAATATTTACCCAGGTCTAAGAGAAAAGCAAAGGGTAGGTGTGGACCTAGTAAGAGGACACTAGCTGGTGAGGCAGCAAGACACAGGGAAACTGGGTCAAAGTGACAGCATGTTAACCTTCATTACATGGCTCTGATGAGACCTCACCCTATTGTGCTGTGCTCACTTTTGGGCACTTCACTGCCAGAAGGATAATAACACTTTGTGCTGCCAGAGTTTTGGCTCATCCAAGCAACGTAAAATGTTTTACATACATTAATTAAGCCTTGTCAAGGGCTATGCAGGGATCACTGTCCCTCCCACATTAACAGCACTCCACAATAGTAGCCGGTGTTTTAGGACAGGGAGTGAAGAATGTAGTATTCAGCGCTGCTTAGGAAATGTAGGAAAATGGGGCATATTTGCATGTATCTTTTATTTCAGTTCTTTGGGTTAGTTGATTTCTGGGCAGAGGAGCACACATAGTCCTTGCTCTCAAAGGCTTACATTCTATCTGGGAACAGGGTAGAGAATGATTGTATGGATCTTAGTAATATTTGTTATTCCGTAAATGTTGATTCAAGGGAGAACTAGCATGTACAGATTTCTTGGGGAAGAATGAATTTTCAGGCAGCTAAAAGGCCTGCTAGACTGAGTCACATCAGGGGTTCTAGGCTTAGAGGGAAACATGGAAGAAGCTACTGACAGTGAAAGACGTGAATGGAAAGCTGAGTCATGCATCTTGGGCAATACAAGAAAGGAGTAAAAAGGGATAGATGAGCTATGTTGTGCAAGGTCCCCGTAGTCAAAGACAAGGAGCTCTGTTGGTGTGGGAAAGGGGAAGCCAATGACGGGAGCTAAAGAGCAGCAAGTCATGCTTGAGAAAGCAGGGCAGTTGGTCAGTTTTAAAGTCAAATCATCTATGACACCAGGGTTAATTCTTCTCCTCTTATGAAAAGTGTCATGGTCTCTTTAATAATGACAACTGATTAACACCTTTGTTTTCAATCTGATCTGCCATGAAAGCAGCACAGTGTCTCTAAGGGACTGAGTCAAGCATGATCCAGAGGAAAGAGAATCACCCGCCAGTGTCATTGCCTTCAGCAGCCAGATGTTTCTGGGTGGTCTCCCAGCTCTGAGCCTTTCCAAGCTTATTTAGTTTGTGAGAACTGGCTGTTTCCTTTTTATGTATTAACTGTCTAATGGAAACACCTTGAAAGATGTGACCCAGGGGATGTCCATAGGTAGGTGTGTTGCAAGAGGGCTTTATTCATACCACTAATTTAATCTGCATTCTCTCCCTAATTAATCTCTCTGTATTTTAAGGTAATTGTTTTCAAGAGTGGGAGTGGGAAGGAGAGTTTACTTTAAACCATGAGATTCAAGGTCTCTCATTAACAGCTCAGGACATGGGCACAAGAGTAAATTCCTACCTGCTGAGAAGTTGCCTTCTTTTGCTATTTCTGTGGCTCTCGCTCAAATGTCAAGCACTATCTCCTCTTTACTCCTCTCCAAAACAAGATTCTTCCTGTCTCCCCATGCCCATGGAGCTCAAACATACATCACCTAGGGAACATAAAGGCATTGCAGAACTTGAAGTCCTTAACAGTAAAGGTCTGGCTGAAGTCACAGTAACCTGGTGGTTATATGTGCCCCGACTGTCAGGGGCTCACTCAATGAATAGGTACTAAGGTGGGTGTGGCCTTCGTTATCTTGTGCACCATGTGAACAGCTCTGTGTGAAAGTTTTCTGGGGCCTTGTGTGACTTTGAGCCCTTCAGCATTGATTGTCTCCTTGTCCCTCTGCCGCCTGACAACCTATAAGAGCTGGGCTATAGGAGTTGTTACTGAAAGTTGTCATGTATCAAAGCCCTTCTCCAGTTGCTCTTCCAGGTTCACAGTACAAGGTTTCTGGTTAATTGATTTCTCTGAGCCTGGAACTATTATATTCTTGTGTCTGTTTTCACACTGTAGCTATTTCAAAATGTAGCATATCTTTTACTGTGTCCTCCTCTCAACTTGTCTCCTAACCATTGGGCTGTATTTGAATAGCAACCATATTATCTTGGAGACAAGCTGGAACTGTAAGGAATGGAATTGAGAGACATTGCTTTACTTAGTTGTTTCTTCTGCCTTCAGCCTTGTGTTTTACCATAATGATTCCATATTTTATTCTGTTTGGTCAGGTTCTTAAACCATGCCCATCATCCTGGTGTCTGGGCACCTGCATATACTCTTCTGTGCATTCATAGATTACCAGTCTGGCAATGTGGTGTCACTCCAGGTATATGTACAATGGTTTGTGCTTGTTGTACAAACCAGCACCATCTCATGCTGTACATTATCAGCTGTGGTTCAGAAGAGGCACTGGCATGACAAGGCTCTACAACCTCTCTTTCTTCATACTAATGCTCCACGTGGGGCATGTTGTTTATTCCTGCCCATGTCCACCTCATGTTATCTGGATGTAAAGTAAATGAAAGCGAGGTAGCTGTTGACTCACATGGCACGTGGAAGCACCTGTTTGTACTGTTCAGCAGATGGCTGAGAGCAAGATGTACAAACCTACACCCTAAGAGCTGCTTGAGCATTTCTAGTCCAGATAGTGAAATACTTTTTTCTCCTTCACACTCTAAGTAAACACAAAATAAAATAAAAAATATTGAAGCTGAATTTCACCCAGTTCATCCCAATTATCAGATTAGAAAATGTATGATTAGAATAAATCAAACCAATGTGTTGGAAATAGAATTGACTGTATAATCTGATATCACATCAGTCACATAGGAGGATCAGGCTGGTTACAGATAAGTTTGATAACTACTCTCCCTTGTAACACAAATGGCTCTGTTTGTGGTAGAAATGTAACAGTCTGAAACTGAGGGATAGATTAGATAGCTACATTTTAATAAGTGCTTTAGGGAAACAAACAAATTTCAGCCTGCATCCATCAGACAAGTAATTTTTCTCAATTCATCTAAAGAGTCAGTTCTGGAGTCTGTGTGTTTGTCTGGATCCCATTACAGGCATGATACCTTTCAGTGCAGCAGCAAATCTGAGAAAAAGTTCACAGCTACCACCCAAAAATTGCAAAATACAAAAGGCAAAACTAGTGATACCTAATCCAAAACATGGATCACAATATTTGCTTCAAAACATCTTGCTTTCCTGGTTTTTGGCTTCCTATCAGAGAAATATTTAAAATAAATCCTGTTCTACTACTAGTAAGCAGGAGAGTTATCCATTTTATTTTCCTTTGACTATTATTACTTTTCAAGAAATGGTAAATCCCCCAGGATTTTCCCTGTAATGATGAAGCAACTGGTAACCTACCTTCAGTTGGTACGTATGCGAATGACAGGTAGGGGCTCATTTGTTATGCCACAATTTCTCTGAAATATTAGTCACCAATACTCCTTGTTCTCAGTAAAAGAAAAATAGAACTCTGAGCTTACCTGGTGTCTACTTGACTCTCTCCCACTCTGAATGCTCCCCCATTCACAGGTGACAAGAGTTTAAATTGAGCTGCAGAGAAAAAGGATGTAAATGCTGACCTTCCACCCTAAAAAGCCTGGAGTTCTTCAAAGCGAGCCTCAGAGACATCAGATTAAATAGTTGAGCTAAGGTGGGAGAGTTTTGTACCCTCTTCCCTTTGGCTTTCACGGGTGAGTTCTAAAAAACTGTATGAAGTTGACAGAGGTTTCCTCTTACCTTTCTACTGAAGCAAAACGGCGTGCTGCTGCTCCAGGATGGGATTAGGTCATGCAAAGAGCCTTGTATGTGAGAGTAGAGGCTCAGCAGTGCTGAGACTCCCAAAGGCTGGAAAGATCTGATCTTACATCAGGTGAGGGAAGGCAGCTGGCTAGGCAAGCCAATAATTATGATATCAGCTCCTCTTAGCCAGAGGCAATTCTGCATTTAATAAGAATACAAAAATGACTAAGCTGCAGGTTTTCCCCCTCATTTTGCAGAGCCTCTTGGTAACTTTTGAGAAAAGCTGGATGGGTATTCAGCTCAGTTTCCCTCTCCACACACCTCTTTGCTTTACTTTTGGTTTGAAATGCCCACCTTGTACTGTGCTTTGCAAACCTCTAACCTCAGTAGGTTGATTAAAAGCGTGTTTTCCTGAGTTGGACATTAACATACTATTGGCAAGCGTTTAGTTGTCAAGCGTTTAGTTGTCCACAATAGGGTCGTGTATACTTTTATTCCAGCTGATCTTTCATCATGGCAATACTGTAGTTCCCCTCTGGAATAATGTCAACATATGCGCTACCATTTCAATGTAAGAGGCTCAGCATAAGGCAAGTGTTCTTAAAGGAATTTTCCTTACCAAAAACGTCAGCACTGCAAGCATATAAATAGGACTGAGTTACGTAGGTGTGAACATGTATGTGGAGCGTGGTTTGTACGTGTGCATTTGTTTGCGTCAATGTGTACAGAAGGTTGTGGATATGGATGTGCAGGTGTAGAAGCACATGTTTGCATATGCTTCTCTTACCTGGCTCATACACACTCTCGAGTCCTCTAGAGAAACTATTAATGTTACTGTAAAAACATTCACCTACCTCACAGGATGATGTGAGGGTTGATTAATGTTTGTAACATACTTTGAAGATGAATGCTACTTATAATTACTATTATTCCACAAAACAGCAGAAACAAGCCACATTTATGTCCCACAGTTATGATGAGATACTGAAGAATCCTGATACATTGATGATAAAGCAGAAACTCTGCTATGGAAGGTAAAGTGATAGTCAAATAAGGATGCATTGTTTGTACCCTGCAATGTGAATCATAGAATCATACAAATTAGAGATGGAAAAGAGCGTTATCAAATTCTCATAAAAGCAGAAGGTATGGAGTATGAGCTGTATTTTTACCTATAGTTAATAATAATTTCCTTGCTGTAGACAAAAGAAAGTTATCCACGCTTGTCAGCAGTTTTTGACACTATTAACCTCAGGTTTTTGTCAGTTCTTCTACAGCAGTAGTTCTGAACCAGGGGTACATGTACCCCCTGAGGGTATGTAGAGCTCTTCCAGGAGTGCATCAACTCATCTGGATAAGTGTTTCATGGGGATGGGTTTGTAGGGGGTCACAATTGCCATGTTAGTGTTAAGGGGTAGCAAATGGCAGTAGCTTGAGGCCCCATGCCACAGGGAGCCCCATGACATGAAGGATTGTATCCTTCAGCCCTGGTCACTGAGTGCAAGCCTCAGCCCCAGAGGTGAGATGTGGGGCTTGGGCTTGTGAAAGGGGCACAGTAGTCTGGAAAGATTGAGACCCAGTGATCTACAGGATATTGTGCAGGATGGGAGTGTGAATCTCAGTAGTTTTGCTCCTTCCTTTCTTAAAGATCTCCGAAGATAGGACTGAATAATTGCAGGGAGTTATGTTTAGCGCTGTTCTTCGGACTTTTCCCAAAGAGGGTTTGAACTGGGACAGTAAGCAGTTACTCAGAGTGCTGGCTCTTCGTCCAAGCTGCCACACTGTGCATCACAATCTAAGCTTCCATTTTGAAAAAATAAAATCTTTAGCCTTAGTGGTTGCAAAGAAAATCTTTATATTACGACCCCACTGTAACTGCTATAGCAATGTTTGGCTGAGTCTGGAACACAACTTTGAAAGGTATGGACTTTCCCTTTTGGTTTTACTGAGGCATGAACTCTGTGGGCCAGTGAGGATTATCAAAATGTCAACATTGTTAACAGTGTCCCTGTTGGCCATGGCTTTGGGGAAAGGAAAAGGAATGGCTACGAAGAAAATCTTCACAATCTACCGAGAGCAGTGTAGGGTCTCTGTTTCGTTCTAGGTGGGGGGGGGGGGGGGGGGATGGCAATTTGGAGAGTAGCAGCACTTATTTTTTTCTGCACACTACTTTCCATTGTGAAAGCTCAGCCATTGTCAGTAGCTTCTCATCTGGGCATCTCCCGTGGGTGGGATTTGGAGACTTGTGATGTCTTTTCCAGTTTGTCCCCTGTTCTTCATCTAGTGGAGCCTGCGCTCTTCTAAGTGGGATATGCTACAATGAGAGTTTAAAACTTATCAGATTTGCACTGGCTCTCTGGAGTGTTTATAACAAATGTTAAATCCTTGGATGGTCTTAGACCCCACTATTTGAGAGACAACCTCTCGCCTGAGTGGAATCCTGCCCTGGCTGTAAGAATGGCCATTATTGTTAGTCCCCGGAATTCTGTCAGTGGAGGATTCCATTGTCCCTTTGGAACTTGTCCCCTTTGGGGCCTCCATAGCCCAGACTCAATGATGTTCAGGCCATGGTGTGACAGACGCCTGGGTGCTTTGCTTTGCTTTGCAGTGGTGGCAACAGTGTTTATGCTCCTCATTATGAGCAGCTTTGTAGATTTTGTTTCAATCGTTTTTGTACCCTAACATTTGGACTATATGGTTACAAAATGACTCAAGACATGAGCCAACCAGCTATTCTGCAACCTTTAAATAGGAAAAGCGGCCTGGCATCCCTCTCCTGGGATCACCTGAGGGAAGACACGCCTAGGTGTAACTTAACCGTCTGCTGTACTGCCTTTAAATAGTAATCAGAGCTTGCCCTTTATCTTCTGAGATATCCCTAGGGAATACACACCTTGGACTAACCTACATACACAGCAGCCCATTTTGGTCCCTCAGAAACCATTTCAGATACATTTATTTGGCAGTTTGAGACCTCCAGATTGTAACCTTGCTACAATTCTCGCCCTTCTGAATCCTCTGTCTGACATAGACCTCTCCTCTTCCCTCTGTTTTTTCACAATCTCAGGAAAATGTGAGAGCCCCAATATTCTGTGGGAGTCTTGATGGTGGTTGACTGGACTGGGATGTAGGTTTCAAATGTGGCACTCAGATAACAGGGTCCTGCTGTTGAGATCTATAGAGCTTTCCATCTGTTGGCTGCAATATTCAGCTGTTTCTGTGTAAGATTAAACAATGTACAGTAGACTTCCAATAATCCGGAACCTTTGGGACGTAGGTGGTGCCGGATTATCAGATACGCGGGACTATTCTCTACACACACACACACACACACACACACACACACACACACACACACACACACTATACTGTATATAAAGTGTTTTTAACCCTTTTTATTGTAACACAAGCACTGTTCAGTGTCACACAATGCCAGTGGCAGACTGACTCGGTCCCGTCCAGTTTCGCTCAGTCCAGCTGCTGCCATTGCTGCCTTGTGACTCGTTTTTTGCCAAAGCTCGCTCACTCACTAGACTCTTGCCATTTTGATGTCCGACTATCGGGAGTGCCGTACATTTGGATGCCAGACTATTGGAGTTTTACTGTAGTAAGTTATTTAAAATGGTTAAATATGAACAATCACTTTCTAGCTGCTGATTTAATATCTTTTCTGCACCCCCAACAGTTTAAAAGCCCCTGTTGAAGTTGTGTCACTCCCAGGATAGTAGAGACACAAGGTGAGTGAAGTAATATTTTAAATTGGACCACCTTTGGTCAGAGAGAGAGACATGCTTTCAAGTGTACACAGCTGAAGAAGAGCTGTGTGGAAGCTCAAAAGCTTGTCTCACATTAACAGAAGTTGGTCCAATAAAAGATATTATCTCTCCCACCTTGTCTGTTTTAGAGAGATTGGTTTTCCTAATCTCTCCTCTGTAGTAGGAGTGATACTGGTGATGGCACAGGAAAGCTGGAGTGTCTAAACGCTTGGGAGTTTAGGTTGAACTTAGCCACATTAAGTCAATTTTCTAAACAAAGAGTCCACACTATAAAGCCTGTTCTGTTGACTTTAAGGGCCATTAAATTAGATTTCTGTACTCCTGCTATCACTAGGAGTAACTGCTAATTTCAATCTTGCATGGTCGACTTTCCAAGAAGTGCTCTGAAAGTCAAGGTTCTTAGCCTCCAGGAGGTGTCCCACAGTGCTCCATGATGACTGGTTTAGCCACAACTTTGAACTCTACTGGTCTCCAAGTGAACAGGAAAAGCCTTAGGAAAATTTAAATTTAATTTCCTTCGTGGCCAGCGTGGTGAGCAGACTTCAGAGCAGGCAGCACACCTGAGCAAGATACCTGACCATAGAATCATAGAATACTAGGACTGGAAGAGACCTCGAGAGGTCATCTAGTCCAGTCCCCCGCCCCCATGGCAGGACCAAATACTGTCTAGACCATCCCTGATAGACATTTATCTAACCTACTCTTAAATGTCTCCAGAGATGGAGATTCTACAACCTCCCTGGGCAATTTATTCAAGTGTTTAACTACCCTGACAGTTGGGAACTTTTTCCTAATGTCCAACCTAAACCTCCCTTGCTGCAGTTTAAGCCCATTGCTTCTTGTCCTGTCCTCAGAGACCAAGATGAACAAGTTTTCTCCTTCCTCTTTATGACACCCTTTTAGATATCTGAAAAGGGCTATCTGTCCCCCCTCGGTCTTTTCTTTTTAAACTAAACAAACCCAATTCTTTCAGCCTTCCTTCATAGGTCATGTTCTCTAGACCTTTAATCATTCTTGTTGCTCTTTTCTGGACCCTCTCCAATTTCTCCACATCTTTCTTGAAAT